GGTATCTCCCACTGACCATCCCTACTAATATACTAACTAGCGCTGGCGGACCTATGGCTGCCTTCCCTCTAGCCAGCACTCTCTTCCTTCCCACATAGCGCTGCTCTTCAGCCTACCGCAGCTCACACACATCCAGCGCACAAGTGCCACGACACTTCCACACTCTCATGCGAAGTGAGCATCTGTCCAAATGGGAGGCTGGCCAGTCCTTTATAGTGCTGGACTGGTCTGGCGTGGCCTGCATTCAGCCTCAAATGTGCCTGGGACTCCTGCCCAGTACCGATTGTTGCAAAGTGTGTGTCCCAGTATCTTTTCCCATGGTCTGCTGCTGCTTTGGGCCATCGGGCCTGTCTTTTGGACTCCTGGTCTGAATCAGGACTGACTCGTGGGATTATGACTGGACTGGGACTGTAGCCTTTGACTCATTGCCGAACAGACATGTCTTTTCATTGAGGAGACATGACCCTAACTCAGTCTTGAAAATTGTGTCCAATACCTGTTCGTTCAGGACCTGTTGTGACCTTTCAAAATGACTTACCACTTCATTATGGATGCGACTTTTACCTCAGGAACTTCGTCTTTTGAGTTGCTGCTCGTGAAGTTAAGTTCTGGCCGACAGGGCCCTTTGCTATTGGGGCATCCATTTGGGGTCTGATTTGTAAAGGCCCTTTTAAAAATCACACAGAATATTCTTATATGCCGCAGTAAAAATGGAGCTCGGCAGACGGAAAAGTAAAATTGCTTTTGCATCCCTTCCACGTTCAAAAGTTAGTATAGCGACCTCCCATATCTGAGGGGATAACCTGAATGTCTATTGCACAACTATAATTTGGCAGCTCAACCACCTAAGCAGATAAGGATTCAGGAAACAAGTTTTCGCAGAAGATGCCACAGCTCCTATAAAGTGATATATAGTGAATGCAGCCAATAACCCCCCCTCCCCTGCTCCCCCCTTTCCCCCTCCTCGCCCCCTCCTCCCCCCCTCCTACCCCCCCCAAATTCTTCAGCCACCAACTTTGGCTCCATTTAGTTGAATATTGTTTGTGCCCTACACCCTCACCACATCCCCACCCCCCAGTCATCCCCAAAGCATTCAGCCACCAGCTTTGGTTTCACTGAAAACAGGACTCGTGCACGCACTGTGGATATCATTCTGAAAAGCAAGTGTCAGAGCCCTTCCATCCCCTTGGGCACCTCTCTGATGTGGAATACCAATGCTGGCCGACGCAAGTTCTACTTACTGAGCTCTCGCCCATACATGAATGACGTTCAGTCTTGTGAACAATTAGGCGAATTGTCCTTGTTGTTGTCGTTCCTATCCCTTCTTTGGCTACTTATGAAGATACCTCACCATTTACACCAAAGGTCATGCCTTGCTGGCGTTGTGCTATGCCTGTGCTTTGCTACGCTAGCCTGAATGCTGGCCACTCCTGAGCAGATCCATGCTTTCTCTTCGCATGGAAGACCACTGTTTGTGCCAACGAGGAACAAGGCAGTTTGCAATCAATCCGAGATTCATGCTATGCTTCATTGGCATGGAGGCAGCAACAATGGGGCCTGGACATTGTCAGTGGAATTGTCTGTCTGCAAACTCTAACGAGAGATCTTGTGCTCGGTTTGTCTGCTGAATCGAAAATTTGTCACTCACACAATCAGTGAGCCCTTTCGGTTTTTCTTCCTGGGGTTTGGGTTTCGAATTTCTCTGCTTTTAAGTGCTTTATGAAAATTATAGCATCAATGAATGATAAAACCAGAGTTCCTCAACTGCTACTTATGACACAAGGAGGTCCCCCTTTAAGCAACAAGCTGAACTTACCTGCACATCTGCACATCTTGGTACAGATCGTCCAACATTCTGACTGCACATCCAGGTGCATTCTCACGCAGGGAATCGAACATGTGGTTAGTGGCCATCAGGAAATTCTCTTCACAAGTTCACTGTGATATAATCATATAACCAACTACACTGAGAGCGCCCCGACTATACACAACCATTGATGAACAGAGCTTAAAGAGTTCAAGTCCTGTCTAACACCCTAGCATCATAATGTGCCTCACCACTGAACTAACAACCAAAAGGTTTAGAGGACTAATTCCTATCCCACACTACCTGGAATAACCCCTCCGTCAATGGTCTAGATGGTGTCCTTGCAATTAAACCACCAGCGACCCACAGCTATCTTTGGCACCGCACCTGTTAACATCAGGCTGAGTTCAGGTTGGGTGTACAGTCCGTGTACCAGAGATGTGCAGGTGCAGGGAGGAGGCATAAAATTTCCAGTGTCCCCGATTCAGCGATTTTTTTTTTTTTTTTTTTTTTTAAATTTTAAATTTGGACCATTTCTCAATTTATGCGTGTCATCCTTGCGCAGGGGCCATGCAAATCTTCTCTGTATCGTTCCAATTTTAACGGATGTCCCGAAGGACACTTCAGTTCTTCAGCGAATTTCTGCTTTCGTCTCCTTCAACAAAAAATGGTCTTCAAAATGCTGATTTTGGACTTTTGGTTGCTGGAATGTGTGATTTGCTGAGATTCCCGCTTTCTGCTAAGATTTCTAAGTCTGTGTGTGCCTGCTTGCTGAGTTTCCGTATGTTTGTCTGAGTGCATGATTGCTGGGTGTGTGTGACCCGCCAGGGTACTTGTATATTTGGAAAGCCTTCGGGCCTGGTACTTACCAGTGGCCGTGCTTTTGTGGGGTTGCAGCAGGGGCGTAGCGGTAGGCTAGGCCTGCGTAGCTTAGAAAATACTTGAGTGGCGGTAGGTAGGCAGATGAAGACAAAACGTTAGTACCTTCATAGGCCAATTGAATTTTAAGAGTCCGGACGTGTCCGGTTTAGGTGTAGGGGTGCCAATCCAACAGTCTGAGTCTAGGGCCTGTAGCGGACGATATCAGACCTGCAATGATATTTCCCTCCAAAACGAGGAAGGTATCGGATCCTTGGGAGGCCAAGTGAGGCCAGGAAAGTCACCGCCCAAGGAAGCAGCTACCCGGTACATATTCGGAAAGAGCAATGAGCTCTCTTCCTCATTTTGTGGTGTGCAAGTTTGGCATCACGATGCTGGAGCGACTGCTGGAAGTCCAGCACTGGGGAGGAAGAAGGTGGACTTGGCCGCCCACCTTGGTTATGATGGAGCGGGCCAAGGAGGAAGGCTCCGGGGTATAGGAGGAGGAGGAGGAGGAAGAATGTGAGCAAGGAGGAGAGTGGCAGGGGTGCTTCGCTGGCTATTGTGGACGGCATCTTCATCTTCTGGGTTGGCCCTGCACCTGGAAACCGCAGTGGGGGTGCGCTGCCTCAAGGAAGACTTCAGGGCAGAGTTAGGCATGGCGGCTATGGTAGAGGGGACATATCAGCCTTGTGTTGTCCTTTGAACATTGGGGCAAAGTTCCCCTAGTCCGCCATAGCCACCTACCACAGAAGAGGAGGAAGAAGGTGTAGGTCGTAGCTATGGTCGACCTCATGTGTTGCTTGCAGTAAGGAGGAGATTCGGACATTGGTTCTGGTTCATTCTTTCATTGCTATAATTACTATTTAGGCTGGGGAAGATAAGGAGGTTGAAGGTGACTCCGAGTTGGACGGGGATTTGACATTGGTCTTTGCTGGTGCACAAATTCTTCTCCTTCTGCCGTTCTTAATTCTTCCTCTTCCTTTGTCTATATCTCTTTCCAGGTTCTTTCATTTCAGTTGCAATTGAATGGCATTGTCTTTCTTTGTGTTATTGGCATTATTGCACTGCAAGATAGCCAGGATCATAACAAGGTGAAAAGTATTACGGCAAATCTCGGCAAGATTTGAAAAACACATGTTTTTCCTGGCTGCCGCTGCCAGGCTCAAACCGCACAATATTTGATAGGGGCAGGCACAATTGAGCATCAGGAAAATGAGGCTCAGAAGACCGATGGTGGTAATGGTGGTCGAATGTGCACATCATCTTTTTAAGCCTACAGGCTGTGCATCCTAGTCCTGGTTGGGTTGTCAGCGCTGCGTGCCTCTAACCCGGATTGGAGCAAGGTGTTTGTCAAGGTGTCTCTCAGCATTTCACTTCTTGTCAGGCATTCGGAGACGTACAATAAAAAGTTAAGAACGTTAGAGACAGTTGATTGAAGAAAGGAGAAAGGAAATCAGGATTTACCATGCCTAAGAGTTCTGACAAGAAGTGAGCCCTTTTTTTTATGGTTGAAAGTTGAAACTTGAGATTCAGCAAACTTGAACAACAACTGTTTATTCCCGGTAGACTGTGAGGACCCCGGCGTCAAGCATTATGAATTCAGTCGGTCGAAAAAAGAAAAAGAAAAAAGAAAGAAGAACAACAACTGTTTAGGAATATGCAAAGACATGACCAAATCGATCAACTGTGACAGCCTGATGGAAAGCAAGCAGCAAAACACAGACGACTAAACAAAATGATGAACGCAACAACTAGGTGAGAGAGAGATGTTACATGCTGCGCCTGCACACGAGGGCCATTTTCCAGCCCCTGCGTCCCTCAGGCTGAAAGGCTGAAAACCAGGGCCTACAGGCCCCGTGTCTGTTCAGCTCGAAAGCCTGAAAAACAGGGGCCTACAGACCCTGTGTCGTTTCAGACTAAAAATGGCAGTAGCCTTTTTAGCCTGCAACGAAGGGCCATTTTCGGTCTGTCATCAGACCGACCTGCCCTGAAACTGGGCATGTAACAGAGAGGAGAACAAAAGGGTTCAGATGAAATACAACGGGAGATAAGAGGAAGGAGCATGGCATTGAATAGACATGGGTGGGAGGGGGCGCACAGGAGGGATGGAAATTGAGGGCAGAGGGGGAACGGTGGATAACAAGTGTGAGTCCCATGCTCCATGTTGTGCGCTCTCATTTAAGATCAACTTGGTGGCATTCCTGCAGGGAGACCGGAACAAGGAAAAATAGCAAGAAGGGTTTCGCATTGCCTTCTCTGGTGCTAGCTCAGTGGTACACACCTCTACATCATGATCAATTGTTCAACAGTCCAAATCCCGATGGCTTGTGCCATGCGAAGCAAGCGTTGATTGTCCTTCCTTCGCTTCACACCGTCCTGTCACCCCTTAAGAAAGGGGAGGTGGGTCTAGGCGGTGCATGATTTCATGCTCGTCAATTTCAATGCGTGTTTTCCCACATTGAAAATGGATAGTGTAATAGTATTGGATAAAATTATAAAATGCATCATGACCTGCTGATTGGTGAAAAGGATGACAAAAACAAGGGCTATCTATGATGGAGACACCAGTTCAGATTGTGAAGAAGATACATAACCTTTAATCTGGGTTCCTGCTTTTCCAACTAGTCACAGAACACAGAGCTCTGCTATGACAGCCTCAAGCAGCATTTGCCGGTGAAGGGGGTGGCTTGCATGGATATGGGTTTCATTCTTTGAGATTTTTATCGTTGTTTTCGTCGTTGCAGACTTCACTGCTATGAGAACCGTATCCTCTTCCCCAACAACCTCAATTCCTTGCACAATTCGGTTCGTCGCATCCTCTTCGATGTCATTGGCTGCATCGTCTGTCATTTCCTCGATTTCGCCCTCTTCTTTCTCACTCGCTGACTTTCCATCGCCCTCTTGCGCCACTGACTTCTCGTTGCCAATTCTAGTGTAGTGTTGTGGTTCCCCTTCCCCATCCTTCTCATTACTACGTCCCACTACAGGACTTAAATCTGTGAACTCCCGCACTTCCCTATCCCTCTCCATAAGATCAACCTCAATTGTGTCCTCGCCGCCAGCCACAGCAGTTGTAAATGTACCACAAATCTCATTCGTCATTAACAGGTTACCCTTGTCTCCTATGGCAGAGGACACCTGCACTCTTTCACCACTGTTTTGCTGGTGACTCCTGTCTCGTCGAAAACACCCCTCCATCATCACCCTCTCCTCCACCTCCCCCTCCTTCCTGTCTGGCCTCAGATCTTGGCCAGCTGCTTCTGGCAGTATCTTCCTCTTCTTGGACTCGTTATCAAGGGAACTGTCAAGGTCTGCCTCTCCCTGCCTCTTCCTCTCTCTCCCTCCTCTTGGTCTTCGATTCACAACAACCTGAACGTCCGTGAAACCCTTCTGGCCCAGAGAAACTATCAGCTTGTTCGCATCAATGCTACCACAGATCCACCGTTTCTGCTTTTCTGTCTGGAATAGCCTCCAATTGTTCGCATGGAGATCGGAGAGTTCAGCAATCCTGCCTCCTCTTGCTCCTGAAGCACCAGGCCACATAGAAGCATCAGGTCGCTGAAGAAGCTGCAGTTTGCCATTGGCAACTGACATAACAGCTGACATGCGGGCGGCAGCAATACCAGTGCTTCCACTGACTGGATGCATCTGAATAGTCCCTGTAAGTTCACTGCTCATTTCCAGACTGACAAGTGGCGATGGTTGGTGCATCTTTATCGTCTGCCGTCCCTTGTAGCTCTGGACCTGCATAGCTGGCAAAGCTCTCAAAGCTCCGCAGTCCTCCAAGGTTTTGAGAGCATCATCTGGAAGCTGCAAAGTGCCACCACCATTAGCCATTGTTAATGTACGGTTTCAAAAGGAACACGACATGCCGGAGCAAAGACTTCTGTCTCTAACAGAGGAGCTACTACTTTTGAACCAATGAAAATTTTGTCTACTCACAAACCATCCACTGCATGGATGAACTCTTCGGACACCCGTATGATAGCAGCCAGGGCGCAGACACGATAGCCAACCGGAAATGTGACCATATCAGATCCCCAGACCAGGGAAGCCAAGGTGCAGGCATGATAGCCAACAGGAAATGTGACCATATCAGACCCCAAGACCAGGGAAGCCAGGCTGCAGGCATGATAGCAAAGGTATTGTGAAAGAAAAAAAGGTTCTCAAGGTGTCCAATTTTAGAGCAATCCTTGTGTTTTAACTTTGACTGCATTACAATCGTTGGAAACTTCTGGAGCGCATGAAGGGTCAAAAGAGCTAACCTCACAAAACTTTCAGATCGGGACGTTAGCACTCGCTGAGTTTAATACTGTGCTGGAGCATATGTTAGACGTGTGCTGACCCCGAACAATGACGTTCACCATGACTGAACTGGGACACAGAGCAAGGAAATGAAGAGTAGTATCTCATCCTCTTCAACGTTCTCTACTTTCAACAAGTTCAGCTTGATTACGAGGCCTCGCATAATCTTCTCTTTCTGCTGCACAAACGCTGTATTAGGAGCTTGAAGTCGATGCTTTGAAGCATCGTATGTGACCCTGCACACACAGTTGCAGGTATTCTACTGACTTCCGATAAGAGATGCAGTCAACCACAAAATGTTAGTATATAAATCGATATAATTCTCCGCTATGCTTGGGCCCCCCTTATGACCTTTGTGCTTGAGATGAGAGTCATCAGACAGGGAGGTTTATCCACCAATCAACACGACGTGTAAATTACTAAATGTGGAACAACTAGACAGGACTTGCGAAAACTGCTTTCATCTCAGGAGCAGGAGCAGACTCCCCATATTCAGTCCGAGTCCTTTTTGTGCTTCCCCTACAACCAAGCAGATAAAGCGGCACTGTAACCCAAGAAATGTACACACACTGACATTCATAAATATTGTACATGTTTGCAAACGCGCTATTCAAGAGTTCTTCCGACCCAGGTCATTGAAGTTTGTGACAGTCCAATTATGCCTTCTGAGTATAGGAAGAGGTTAGAAACCGAAGTCTCAACAGACAGCAGTTCTCGTGAGTTCTTGACAAATAGATATGACGAAGTGACGTTTTAGTGACGAACGACACAAGACACAACCACTCATCAAAACAGAACTCCGAAACAACAAAGTACATAGCATTAAAGAGAAAGTTGACAACCCAAGAGTACCGCGATAACGGACTCGACAGTCTACTTGTCTCCATCCACCTTTCCTCTCCCTTGACTTCACCGTCTTCTTCCCCAACATAAAACCGGAGAAAACTCCGGAGCCATGCGTGCTGAAAAGGACAAAAATAGTTGCCGGTAACGTACTTATACGAAAGCTGAATCCTACTCCCTAGTCCTAAGCTGCTACCAACCCCGATGTGAACTGCCAGGTCTCGTCGCGAGACTGCGCGAAGTTGCACACAATGTTTCCCAAAAAGGTATCGGAAAAACCCTTGACCCAGTACTCCCGACGCAAGGTCAGAACTTGCTTGGGAATTGCTGAGCGAGCGGTTGTGTTACGGTCCAAACGGGACAACCACCCTGTCACCGCTGCTTTCTTCTGCTTCAGGTCTGACCAAGAGTTAGCGTCCTGGCCTGTCCTCAACTGCACAGGTCCAGAACCCCAAATTGTCCCTTGGTTCTTTGTCAAYTGTGTACTCCGTACGAAGGGGTACTCCTGACCGGTTTCCAAACGGCACCCAATAAAATCCCAAGTGCCTGATTTATCATCGGTCCTTTTTAGGGTCAACA